ATATATATATATATATATATATATATATATATATATATATATATATATATATATATATATATATATATATACATCATTATTATATTTTATCTATGTAAAAGCTTTTAAAAGGCCCATCAGAGTTTGGAGAAAGAGCAGAGAGAGAGGACACTCTCACTCGTAAGTTGTCCAGTTGTAGATCTTTCTTTTAACAAAGGAAACACAGAAAGGATGGTTAAAAAGAGTGAGCCAGCCGAGCCTCTCTTCCACCAGCTCTGCCTCACTCTGTGCTGCCGGTTGGCTGAAAGCCAGCCATCCTTCACAGAAAGACACTGCAGTAGCTCAGAGGGCAAAGCAGACAAACATAATAACACTCATCACTCTCACTGCCTCAATGAGCCAACTACTATTTTGGCCTTGTTTGCATGGCTATGTGTGGGTGTGTGCTTGTATGCACGGTGTATGATGGTGTGTGGGTGTGTGTGTTTATATGAGGGAACAAAAAACAGGATGGAAAACAACTATGTGATCAAGAGCATTTGAGAGAAAGACAGAGATAAGAACAAGGAGAGAAATGTCTTTATGTTATGCTTGAGTTTGTGTGTGTATTTAGGCGAGTCGGGGGTGGGGTGGTTTAGAAGAAGAGGGTGTGCTTGACTCCGGAGGGAAACGGCTGATGAGTTAATTCATGGATCAAAGGTTGAGCCGTAGACTTCCTTTCGTGTTGTTTAGAGTCTGTTGGAGCTTAAAAAACACAACAGGGAATATGAAAGCAGATTTTAGTTTTCTTTCTTCTTTGTATACATGAATTAACTCACAAAATTAATTCTTGCAAACTTGTTGGGAATCTTTCTGTTTTTCTTCAATTTATGTCTTTGCCAGGACTGGATATTACAGGACAGCAGGGATGACAGATAAGAATGACATAAATGATCCTCTAGAGACCTTTACCTTTATGCAAGCGCCAGACTTTGGTAAACATTGATTTAAACCTTTCAGTAATCATAAACACATCAAACTAAATTTCTGACATTTAAAATGGTACCTTGCAGCAACATCTCAGATTTGAATCCCAGTCTCCGGTCTTTTCGCACAGACTTTGCATGTACTCACTGTGTATTTGTGCGCTCTTTTCACACCTCAAAAACCACCACCTCTTGCCCAGTGACAGCTGAAGAAAGGCAGTCGCAAGAAGGGAAACAGAAAATAACAGATTCCTAAGTGTTCCTAGACATGCTTGTTAACTGTAGGAAATGAAGTGCTTAAAAAGAAAATGTTTCATGTCAAATTTGTTGTAAAAAAAAAAAAAGAGAAAAGAAAGGGCCAATGGTTCTTTTTTTATTGTGTGAAATCACTTTTTTGGTTGTTATTTTACCTTCCTTGACTTCTTGCTCTTTATACTTTTCTAAAGGGCTTAGATTTAAGGCCCAGGGTCGTTGTTGTTGTTGTTGCCAAATATGAGCAAAGGCAGACCATTTTCCACTGATAAAGTGTGAGCATTTTCAGTAAATTGGAAAATTGAACAACACAAAGAAAAAAAAAAACATCTATTGATTAATCACTTTCCATAGTGCTGAAACTTAGAGCTATCTTACCACTTTGGCCAGGAAGGGTAGCCATTTTCCTTCCAATGGTCCTTTTGAGTTTGTCAGCT